TCACAAAATTCATATAAAAAAATAAAATCCCGATATTTCCTTAAAACTTACTCCAAAACATGTTGCTTTGAGATAATTTCTCGTTTGTAAACAAATTTTAAAGTCTATAGATGACCATACGCACTGACAACGTTTAATATTTGGATGACATGTATTGGTCTGTCAAAATGCTATGCACACACATATACTCATACATAAATATTCAAACGCAGTTAACGTCATTGTGATCACAGGCTCTTGCGTGAGACAGCTGTTTCGAAACTTGGGTTATGTTTCGTGCGACCCGCTGCAGTTAATGTCATTGTGATCTAGGCTCTTGTACGGGACAGCTGTTTGGAAAATTGGGTTATGTTTTGTGCTGCCAGAAATTTAAATCATTTTCCACATAAAAAGTACTATAAAAACTTTAAAAATAATTTTTGACAAATAATAACACAAAATGCAAAGTGTCAATATAGCCACGATAGCGCCAATCGCTAAGAGAACACGATCATATTCACAGGTGAGTAAATATTATGTGACGGCTCTTCAATGAACACTTTCAATGTCACTACATTCAACTATTTTAAATTAAAACATAAATATGCACTTTCTTTTTTAGAAATGTGAAACACAAATGCTCGAAAGTCCAGCTATTGAAAATAAAGATAACAATCAAAAGGAAGAATCTGATCGAATCAAAGAAAAATCGATTGCCAAACCAACGTATGATAAATCGCAAGTGAGTGAAATTTTGTGTGGCTTCTTGCAATTTCAATTTCAATTATTGTTTTTTTGTGTGAAGTTCACAAAGATTAATTTAATTGTTTCTTTTTTGTATTTTAAGATTAAAACACAGACATACATTGCAAGTAAGCAAATCGCTGAACAAAATATTGTTAATGCCGATGCTATCGTCAAGCGAACACGATATAAATCGCAACTAACAAAAATAAATGTTGTAAGTAAAACCGTGAACTCTTGAAATAGACATATAAATGGTTTCAAAATAAATCATTTGGTTGTTTGTTTTATATCATTTCAGCAACTTAAATCACAAAAGACTGACACTATACTTCATAGAAAAGGTAGCACCAAACAAACGGCGATTAACGGGACTGATCAAATTGAAGGAGCTCATATT